GTGGCTTTGGGGAAATGCCTTTTCCGGTCAATTGCCAACGGAGATTGGATTGCTGACCAGTCTGACTGTTTTTCAAGCAGGCAGAAACTCTCTTACAGGTCTCATCCCCTCGGAGCTTGGGCTATTGACCAGCATGGAAAGATTGGACCTTTACGAAAATGCCTTTTCCGGTCAATTGCCACGGAGATTGGATTGCTGACGGCCTGACTAGTTTCCAAGCACCAAGAATCTCTCTTACAGGTCCCACCCCCTCCGAGCTTGGGCTATTGACCAGCATGGGTAGATTGATCCTTTTCGAAAATGCCTTTTCCGGTCAATTGCCCAGTGAGATTGGATTGCTGACCGGCCTGGCGGATTTTCAACCAGCCAGAAACTCTCTTACAGGTCCCATCCCTTCGGAGCTTGGGCTATTGACCAGCATGGAAATATTGTACCTTTTGGAAAATGCCTTTTCCGGTCAATTGCCCAGTGAGATTGGATTGCTGACCGGCCTGACTAGTTTTTCAGCCTCCAGAAACTCTCTTACAGGTCCCATCCCCTCCGTGCTTGGGATATTGACCAGCATGGAAATATTGCACCTTTTCGAAAATGCCTTTACCGGTCAATTGCCCAGTGAGATTGGATTGCTGACCGGCTGAGGATTTTCAAGCATCCAGCAACTCTCTTAATGGCTCCATCCCTTCGAGCTTGGGCTTTTGACCAGCATCGAAATATTGCGCCTTTGGGGAATGCCTTTTCCGGTCGATTGCCAACGGAGATTGGATTGCTGACCAGCCTGACCGAGTTTCAAGCAGCCAGAAACTCTCTTACAGGTCCCATCCCCTCGGAGGTTGGGCTATTGACCAACATGGAAATATTGTACCTTTTGGAAAATGCCTTTTCCGGTCAATTGCCAACAGAGATTGGATTGCTGACCGGCGTGAAGGATTTTCAAGCATCCAGAACTCTCTTAATGGTCCATCCCTCGGAGCTTGGGCTTTTGACCAGCATGGAAATATTTACCTTTGGGGAAATGGCTTTTCCAGTCAATTGCCCAGTGAGATGGATTGCTAACTGGCCTGAAGGATTTTCAAGCATCCAGCAACTCTCTTAATGGCTCCATCCCTTCGGAGCTTGGGCTTTCGACCAGCATGGAAATATTGCGCCTTTGGGGAAATGCCTTTTCCGGTCAATTGCGCAGTGAGATTGGATTGCTAACTGACCTGACGGATTTTCAAGCATCCAGCAACTCTTTTAATGGCTCCATCCCTTCGGAGCTTGGGCTTTTGACCAGCATCGAAATATTGCGCCTTTGGGGAAATGCCTTTTCCGGTCAATTGCCAACAGAGATTGGATTGCTGACCGACGTGAAGGATTTTCAAGCATCCAGCAACTCTCTTAATGGATCATACCTCGGAGCTTGGGCTTTTGACCAGCATGAAATATTGCGCCTTTGGGGAAATGCCTTTTCCGGAAATTGCCCAGTGACTTGTATTGCTGACCAGGCTGACTGTTTTTCAAGCACCAGAAACTCTCTTACAGGTCCCATCCTCCTGAGTTGGGCTATTGACCACATGGAAATATTTTACCTTCGGGGAAATGCTTTTCCGGTCAATTGCCCAGTGAGCTTGGGTTGCTGACTCGAATGAAAGAAATGAGCCTGAGAAGCAATGAATTTGATGCCCCCCAATTTGATGCCCCCCTGCCCAGTGAGCTGGGACAGTTGACAGACTTTTTTGGTCTGTGGCTCAATGACTGTAACATTACAGGCTCTATTCCCAGTGAGTTTGGTTTGATGTCGTCTTTGCAGGTTCTGAATCTGCGCAACAACTCCCTAGGTGGGGTTGTCCCCTCAGAACTGGGACGAATTGAACAGTTGAGGGAACTTGATCTATCAAGTCTACCTCTGTTGAGTGGGTCATTTCCATTTGATACCTTTGTCAAAACCTTGCCTCTCTAAACATTTCTGGCAGCAATGGTTTAGAAGGAACCATTCCCAAAGAGCTCTGCTTCCTCCAAAACTCCTCTTGCTCCTATGATCTTTTCTCTGCTCCAGGCTTACTTTGTTCCATGAGCTTTGACTGTTCTACCTTGGTCTGTGGATGTGATTGTGCCTGTTCCAATGATCTGTGACATGTTTGGTAGCAACCAGAAGGAGCAACACAATTGGATCCTAATCGTACCCTTATGTAATCTCCCCGATCGTTTACAATTAAATTGAATCATTCCTGTTGCAAAGAGCTATAGCTAGCTATATAGAAGGACAGGCACTGATACTGGAGGTCAATGTGAGCCATTGCGGCACTTTGGAAGTAGATCTACTGTACATATTATGAAACTATTTTTAGATTCACATGGGAGCATTCGTAGTGTCGTTTGAAGACGATGTACTTTCATTTATACTTTTTGTGAGAGAGTGCTGATCATTGTCCTGCATTTTGTGGATCCATTGCCTTGCCCTTCAAAAGATACCAAAAGGCCACTCCTGGCCAACCAATACAACGGCACAGTACGAGTAGTGATAATAACCAACGGTATTCAATTTGCTAAACTTGCTTTCCTTCTTGCTAGCTAGTGGTGGACTGCCTCCTTTCAGCCGCTCGATCTATGCATATAGTTGGCATCTGCCAGCATGTTGATGGATGGTTGGAAACCAAGATCACCAGCTGGCTATTAGCCAGTAGCAAATTGGCATACTTACGGTAGTTACCGCCTTCAAAGTGAATGGAAAGCTTTGCTGTAGAGTACGAGACGATACGTAGGGAAGTTGCGCAGCCGCTGTGCCCGGGTGCATGATACAGCGCCCATCGGCAATGTATATTCACTGGTACACTTCCATAGCGTAGAATTGAAATTTTCGTCCCGCAGCGACCCATCGGCCCACGACGACCATTGGCCACCAAGCTACAAAGAGCGATCGATGCAACCATGGAAAAGGGCGACAAGGCATTCGTTGTCGGTCTCCAAAACAGACAAGACCTCAACGGAACAACGGTGAACTTGCTCGAGTGGAACCAAGCGACGGGCCGATGGTCGGCACGAGTCGCGTCGGGTAGGAGAGAAGGGATCTGTATCAAACCAATCAATCTCAGTGCCGTGCCTCCACTCGACCCGGTAATGGTGTCGGCGATCAGTGCGAGCGTCCGTGGCGGCGACAAAATAATGTCCCAATTCACCGAAATAGGCATTATTCCCGGACAAGTGAGCTATGAGCTTTTCATGACGTTCACCTCGTTAATGGTGAAAGCCTATGGCAATACAATGACTGAAGCCAAAGCAACTGAAATGCTGATTGAACACATTGGAAAGTTTGGTGACGCTCGGCTTGTCTGCGGCAAGCTGAAGAAGATTGCTTCTGATGCGAACGATATGACACGTTTTGGCATTGTCATACCCACACTCTCCGCCATGCTTCGAATGGACACGGGCAAAGGCTACTTGGAGCTGATGATACGTCTCCGAGAAGGCACAATCGCACACATCAGATCCCAGCAGGCACATCTCCGACGTTTCAAGTCCCAGGTACAAGAAATTCGAGTTCAAAGCGATGACCCTTTTCAAGCTGCCATGAAGCGAATGTGCGGTAGAGAAGGCAGCAAGTCCATGTCACCAAAGCACATTGCAGAAGAGCTGGCGTGGGCGGGGATGACAGGAGACATGACCATTATCGGCGAAGAAGGTGTAGAAAAGGTGAAGTTTGACATGATTCTTCACCGTGCCTATGTCAAATGGCTAGTTCAAGATGTTTTGCCAACGCTGGATCCTCGCGATGCCAAAGATGGAACCCTCGGCAAGTGGCACCAAGTTCTGCATTGGGAGAGTCAACTAACCGGCTCCGTCTTTGTCACTCACGATCGAGTATTCCTGGACATATCCGACGACTTTCGCATCGACCCCTGGATAGATGGGCTGGTTAAATTCGATTTGAAAACGCTGGAATCAATGCCTGGTGTCGACGCAGATAAAGCTACCCATGCTGGTCAAAAGCCCAAGCTCGGAAGGGATGGGACCGGTAAGAGAGTTTTCGGATGCAAGAAATTCAACCATGCCGGTCAGCAATCCAATCTCACTTTGCAGTTGACCGGTGAAGTCATTTATCGAATAACCCATGAACCTTAAGTTTTCCATATTGAAGAGCTCAGATGGTAACATGTCGGCTGGAGTGCCACTAATATTGTTACGTGGCAGACTCAATACCAACAGATCAGGCAAAAGCACAATCTCTGGTGGAACATGGGGAGTAAGCCCATCAAGTTGTAAATTCGTAATAAACAGATTTTGGAATCTGCCGTCTTGATTGCATGGGTCAAGCTTGTAAGCAAGATCGCCATCTTGGTTTGCCACCAGGAAACCACCCAAACTCACTGGAAAACCACAAACACTCATTCTCAAGTCTGCCCTCATCTTGCAGCCAATTCTCCTTGATACTGTCTGGCCAGCTGAGCCCCTCAAAGGCATAGAAAAAAGTTGCCAGAACAAAGAGTTGCTTCTTCCTCCATTCAGGTAGGTTGGTCAGATTTTGGTGATTGGACAGCCACCACCAAGCCTCGTATTGAGGGGTGCTGCTATTGCCAATGTTTGCCTGGGTGGTGCTTGGGAGTTCCATCAGAAGCAGGTCCAAATATCCAGTTGGAGCCATGGAAGGGACTCCGGAGGGTTCCATGGATAGGTAGACTGTGGGGGTCTCTGTTGCCAATATTATTTCATTCTTCCTTGTGGAAAGACCCGCCCCAATACCAGTCCCAAGAACCAATAGAGAGACAGCAAGGATAGCACATCCAATTCTTCTGCATTGCTGCTCTTTTTGTTCCTTGATGGACTGCCTTTCTAGAGTTTCCGAGTCAACTTGGTGAGCTTGTGGAAGCATTAGGTCATTGCTGGGGTCTTCTGTCAGTGGTGTGGCTTCTACCAACCCAGCATTTGGATCACCGATGGGAGTGGTTGCTGGAGCCATTGATGGGTCCGATAGTTGTTGTTCATCGCGATGGGCATCTTGTTGGCCAGTTCTTCAGGAGTTCGTCGTAGTCCCTTTTGGTTCGTGTTGTTGCTTGTGGCTGCTATGGTTTCCTCGAGATCTCCACGGCCACTCCCATTGCTTCTGCTATCACTCATGTTACTGCTGGTGGTGACTTGTGACTGCGGTGGGTTATCGTTGGAAGGGTGCCTTCCAAACCTTCCTTGCTAAGCAGCAATCTTGTTGGCCAGTTCTTCAGGAGTTTGTCTTTGGTTCGTGTTGTTGCTTGTCACTGCTGCAGTCTCCTCGAGATCTCCATGGTCACTTCTGATGCTGCTGCTATCGCTCATGTTGCTATGATATTGTGCGGTCTCTGTATATATACTCTGTTATCCATCTCCTCCTTGGCTTATTTGTGTGCTCATCGCTTCTTGTCTCTCGGCCATCAAGCTGCATGCCCAGGCATTCTCGAAATCTGAATCAGTGCGGGAAAGCCTGTACTTTGAGACTTGCTTAAACTCGTGTTGACTCAGTGCCAGACGATACCTGCTGGCCAGTCACTCGAAGGAACATTGTCTTGCACCACCAGAGCTTTTCCTGCAGCACTGCGATCTTTTGCTGACATGCTGATGATACGCTTCCATGCACGCCTGGTCTTCTCTGGCTGCAGATACCCATTTTCGCTGTTGCTGGCAACACTTGGGTGGGGGTGCGCGCTGCAACCGGCGCGGTCTGAGAGTTTTCCACAAGCTAGCTAGCTAGGGAGTAAAGAAGTAAGTTAGAGGGAGGTTATGACCTTCGCCATCAGCGGTTAGCTGCTACCGTATGATAGGGGGGTTTTAGAGTAGGGAAATTATCTACGGAAGCCAGCCGGGGCCAGGCTTTTAAAAGCAAAGAACAGTCGAAATTCAGGACTAGGTTCTGTGGGATCAGGGGCAAGAAATGGAGGACCATTACGGGGGGCAAAGGGTTTGGCTTTGCGGGATCCACGGAGACATAAATGGGTAGCTTTCACAAGGGCAATTGAGATACGGGTCTGCATGAAGAACATCATTTGAGAGTAGGAAAATTGAGTTTTGGAGGCAGTAGCAGAAGCAAGGCGTTGTAAGAGTATGTTGAAAGATCGAGGATGGTGATCTTTCCAGGTTGGATACGAGTGATTTATTTCGAAACCGACAGCTTGCTTTTCGTCCTTTGGCCTTGCGGGATGATTGCAGCGCACGCTGCAACGGAATAAACCAAGGCGACTTGTTCTTGGAAGCAAAGCCCCCCAAAAGGGAGCCAGGTATTGTTGTAGAGCTGTGACTCTTTCATGCCGCCAGTGCTTCTTGGCGTCGTCGAATGCTATTGGTAGTCGTGGTAGTATTGCCATTCCTCTGATTGTCAACACTACTGTGATTGTTGGCATCCATAGCACTCCAAGAACTGAGCATGTCGGAGGGTTCCTCCACTGCAGTGTCGTCGTTGTTGACACCGTAACTGTAATCTTCCAGGTCGTGGACCCCCATATCCGAGTCACTCGCGTAGGAGAGCGTAAACCAGGAGTCTGCCCGGGCGAGCATGGGCCGTCGGTTGGCGGTTGTCTTGTTGGAAGAAGGAGGCATACGAAGGGCTGGTCGACTGTTGGTCTTTTTGGTTACGAAAGAAGAAGAAGGAGTTGTACTGCTGGAGTAGCAGCTTTGGTTGGCTGCGAGACGACATGATGCTTCTCGTTCCAGTTCTTGTCGTCGGGCTGATTGGTATGCCAGAGTCGATCTTCGGTGTGCCTGATGAGGAGGACGAGGGAAAGGATGGTACAGTACCAGTATAGTTAGCAAAGGCTGCAAAAAGAAGAGGTGCCTGGATAGCTACGTGGCTGCAAGGATGGGTACTATTAATACACTGTATGCACTTACCGAGTCTGAGAGTTGCTGGTTGACATTCACTTTGGCGCTTTCAGTAGTGACAGTGACGGGGGCAACTGGAGCGGAGGATGGTTCTGTGGTCTCTTGGACTTGTATTCTTGTACTCTTCTTCTTCGCCATGAGTGGCATCACTTGCGTGGAATGAGATGTCTCGGAACAATCAGGGATTCCCCAATCATTCGATAGCCGAGCCGCGGTGCAAGTAGTGCTGGCAGTCACCGACGAGGAAGGGGAAGACGAATTAGGGCACTTTGTCCTGCAGGGCTTGCTGCCATCAAGACTACTGCTCTTCACGCATTCACGGTGATCATTATGGTGGCACTCTTCCTCCACGGGGTGAGAAACTTGCATGGATTGGCATTGGCCCATGTTGAGATGGCTGAGATGTTGGGACGGGGGGAAGCTGGCAAAAGACAGGGAAAGTGTGTTTTCTTCGGTGTGGAAGAATTTTGTGGGCAGCTGAGAAGACAGATTGATGCATCAAAATACTAGTAGCCAGTAGCCAGATCGATCAATGCATGGGCTATCGAGCTGCCACGCAGTACCGGTATCCATGCCGAGTCTTGGGCTCTTGGACAGTCGTAGCCATCGACAAAAATTTAATCAGCAAATCTCGAAATCTCTGCTTCTTTTGATGGGTTGTCAGTTGCGAGAACCCAAGATTGAACAAGGTCACTTGCACGCCACCTGTGCACGTGAGTTTCTCTACATTGTACAATAACTCTGATACCAAAGGGACCTTTCCAAAATTGCTGGGTTCGTGACAGCCACAAGGACACCACACAGTACCAGCCAGAACGGTAAGGTGAAGTAATGAATTAAATCCATTTTTACGATCAGACAAGAGAGCTCTCGAATATGATGACTGCTTGGACAATCGCAGCATTCGGGGAAGTCCAACTCGATCCTTTTGGAGCTTCTTTTGGGCCGTTGAGCACCAATGAATTAGACTCATTCTGAAAACTGAGAAAGACTTAGTTCTCCTAGTCAGCGAACAGAATCGAGAAGCCCAGAAGAGTCAATGATTGCCAAAGATATAAAGGTTGACTTCTTGGTAAATCCATCCGGTCTTTTTCGATTTATCCATCCTGCATCGAGCTGGTACAGCTGCAATTGCGGAGTCGGCTTGTTAAATCCCATTATGCTCCCAATTCGTCTTACCTGCTTTTGGCTACCGGTACCAGGTACTACCAGTACTGGAGTACGGGTACGCTGTACTACAATGTCATGTTGAGGCGTTGAGGCGTACCGGTAGAGGCCAGCGCGCACTACAATTTCCATGCCACTGCCAGCAAACACCTGCCTTGGGCAACTCACGGTGGTCGGCGGGATGGTTCATGACTGTGATGGCTGGCCTGCAACCTGCAACATCGAGCCCCTACCATAGTAGCTGGCTAGCTACTGGCTAGCTAGAGATCTACATGTAACCTCTTTTTAGTTAGCACCACACCAACGCAGCTAACCACTGGCTGCTGGTACCGTACCAATACCAAAAACGGAAGCAAAGAAAAGCAAAGAAAAAGTAGAAGCAAAGTGAAGGTCAATCGGGTGGCAACTTTTGTACTCTTGCTTGCTTGTACTCTTTGGATCGACACAAGGAGGCGCCCAGCCATCTACCCACCATCAGATCTTGGCATCTTATTAGAACCTGCCTCTCGTGGGAGTAAAACGCACGAGCGATAGAGGTAAGTAACGAAAGCAAGCATCTCACAGAGCCCTACACGTAAGCAGCCGCAAGCACGCCTCTTTCCTTCCCACTTTCCCAGGTACAGCCTACTACCGCCCGCCGGTAGTAGCTACTTGTGGCTGAAAACAAGGTGGCAGTAGAAACGAATGGGCGGGGTGGTTGCCGCAACGCACACAAATGGACTGGAGATTGGCTGCCTGGTTGACTTTTGATTAGACTATCCATCGATCGACTCAAGCAAGCACCCAGTCAGTCAGCCTATAGCTACGTACTAACTGCCAAAAATAGGCCGCCCGACGAATCACTGTGCGTCGCTCGTTGAGGGAACCTTGTTTGCTGTTGATTCCTCTTTCTTGGCTGGCAGCCGAGCACTGATTGCTTTCTACATCGTTGCAAACAGCTCGACTCGACTCGACTCGAGATTTGCCAAGCATACACCAAGTACCTACCATGCCTCAGACCATGATGAAACCTCTCTGGCTAGCACTCCACTAGCTAGCAAGTACGTCCATTTCAACTTGGCAAGTTCTTCCCTCACCTGTTCTGTTCCATTTGGTTTTGCGACGGGACGGCTTGCTATGTTTCGTCTGTCCATGCATCCGAAAGATCTTTTGAGTCCAATGAATCGAATCAAATCCAGGAAGCAATGGATCTTCCTGCCACTCAATTATTTCCGAACAACACAAAAGCACAAAAAGGCAAGAGAGCGAAAGAGAGAGGTCCTCTAACCATACTAGCTAGCTAGCTGTAGTTGTAGCACCGCACGGTACAATGTCGACTCCAGACTCTGATATGGAATCCACAGAACGGTCGAAGAAAGAGGACCGCAAGAAGCGTAAGGAGGAGTCCAAGAAGGATTCCAAGAAGGAGCGGAAAAAAGAAAAAGAAGAAAGAAAGAAGGATCCAAAAACGGCATCTCTCCGACACAAGCAAGGAGGAAGTGTTAGTGCCTGATCTGACCACACTTCCACACCAAAAAGAAAAGAGAAACACAACAATGACAATGACAATAGCACAGTAAGCTACCGTTTGATCATGCGTATATTGTGGCACCGATGGTCGGAGCCTCGGAATTGCCGTTTCGGTTATTGACGCGCAAATACGGCGCTCAGTTGGCATATACGCCCATGATGAGTTCGGTCCGATTTGTCCGGGAGCCATCTTATCGCAATGAAATCTTTCAGACCAACCCACTGGATCGACCGTTGGTGTGTCATTTCAGTGCCAATTCGCCCACTGATTTTGCCAAAGCCGTTCAATTGGTGGCGGACCAATGCGATGCCATTGATCTCAATTTGGGATGTCCTCAACGGACTGCCTTTGTCGGCCATTTTGGCAGTTACTTGTTGGATCCCGGTCCCGATCGACAATTGATTTGTGATATTGTGCGTGCGGGCGTTCAGGCAGTGTCGCCTTCGAAACCCATTTTGGTCAAAATTCGACTCTTGGAGACATTGGACGAAACCATTCAACTCTGTCGACAATTAAAAGATGCCGGTGCCAGTCTCATTGCCATTCATGCCCGAAAGCGTGCCGGTTGGGAACGCAAGGGACCCGGGGCACGCGATGGACCGGCCAAACTCGACTTGGTCACGCACATCAAACAAGCCGTGCCCAATATTCCCATTATTGCCAATGGAAACGTCATTTCCTATCAAGATGTACTCGACAACCAAACACTCACAAACGCCGATGGAATTATGAGTGCCGAAGGAATTCTCGATAATCCGGCACTCTTTTTGCCACGGTTGGGAAACAATGAAACTACGATACAACAAACAGTCACCATTGTCGATCCACTTTTACATTGTTGTTTCAAGGACGATGCTACTATCCCACCATTGGATGAATCCAATAACACAAAGGACACCACCAACTTGAATTCCAAATCAGCAACAACAACATCCAATACTGATGTCATCAAGAAAAAGAAACGAAAACTACTCAAGAAATTGAGGGAAATTGAACGCATTCAGACTAAAGTACAAGAGAATGGTGGGGATGACTCTATATTGGAAAAAGATGAACACCAAAAACTAAAAGCCAAATCGTCCGTTCAAGAGGCCATTCGGAAGTTGGATCAACAAGAAGAAGAACAGCCGAAGCAGGAGAATGGAACGACGACATCATCATCGTCATCATCCGACGTCAATCAAAAACCCACTAGTACTACTCCACCACACAACAACAACACGAAAGAGTTGACGGTGGCCAATTCCACCCACACGATTCCACTCTCCCAACTCTACGACACGGCCAATGACAAGATTGCATTGGCCAAGGAGTATCTACAATTGGCGCAGCGGTTCGGACCCACCACGATGCGAACACAAATCTTTCATGTTCGTCGCATGATGAAGGAGATTCTAGATCAGTACCAACTCATGCCGGATTGTTTGCAGTGTCGCACACCCGCGCAACTCGTCAACATTGTACGACTATGCGAATCTTATCGACACGATCCCACACTGTTTGTCTACAATCGTCAAAAAGCCAAAGAACAAGCATTGGCATTGGAACGCAAACGACACGAAGAAGGAAAACGCAAGGCATTCGAAGCACGCATGATTCGAAAGGCCAAACGAGAAGGAAAATTGCAGGATCTGGAATACTACCTGCGACGAGGGGCCACCGTGCCGACGCAAGCATTGGTGAAACAGTTGAGGAGCATGAAGGACGACAACAAACCAGAACAATTAAAGGCGTGGACGGAGAACGATCATTCCCAACATTGTCTTGCGTTTCATTTGGACAAGACGTGTCAACGAGGACGGGCGTGTGCCTTTTTGCATGTAGATGCCAAGGCCAGTAATGGTGGCAGTCACAAGAATGGTGAACATGGTGGTGGTGGTGGTCAGGATACCACCTTTGAGGAACAAGACGAAGTGGCAGGATAAGTACATGTTGTGCTTACCGAGCTATTCATCATACAGTGGATAAATCAGATTCAAACTCATCTTTGGTCTACTTTATTTAGTCCATTTCGAGCTTGGGGCATACCGCATAGTATGCTCGTCCAGTATGGGTGTCTTGGTACCGGTATGTGCCAAGGGTATGATACTGGACGAAACTGCAGAGCTTCGATTCTCACAGACATAGATAGCTTCCCTGCTCTACTACCTAGCTTGCAAGCAAGCTAGACTCGTTTCTCCTGGCTGTGCGGTACCCGTAGCTTGATACCCAACTGGAATCGAGGTGCCCCGTCGATCCTGCTCTTGCATGAAGACTTCTAACGAATGTTGATTGGAAACTGTGAGACTATCATACATTGTAGCTGCTGGGCTAACGATTTCAGCACGGAGTGAGTGATTCCATTCAGCAAGTTTGACTCTTCAGCTTGCAATCACCAGTGACAGTTGGCGGAAAGGGACATGGGTTTTGTCTACTTTTGATTAAATACCTCAATTCGAGACGATCACATAAATGATGTTGATATATTACCGCCCTTCTTCACGAGACCCAGGGCAGCCATTGTCACGTAGCCACTGGATCACTTCCTTTTGGTTGAACAGGCAGGCAGCTCGATATGTTGATGCACTCCATGGACAACCATTTTCACGAGCCCACTTCAAAATTTCCAAATGCCCATTTTCAGCAGCACGAGCACATGTATCCGCATTCCAAGGACAACCATTTGCACGAGCCCACTTTAGAATTTCAAAATGCCCATTTTTAGCAGCAGCCCAGCATGTCACTTTATCCCATGGACAACCATTTGCGTGCAACCACTTTAGAATTTCAAAATGGCCATTTTTTGCAGCACCGCCACATGTTCGCTCATTCCATGGACAACCATTTTCATCAGCCCACTTCAAAATCTCCAATGGCATTTTCAGCAGCACTAGAACATGTCAAAGCATTCCATGGACAACCTTTTCACGAGCCCACTTCAAAATTTCCAAATGCCATTTTTAGCAGTAGCCCAGCATGTATCTGCATTCCATGGACAACCATTTTTTCACGAGCCCACTTTAAAATTTCCAAATGACCACCGTCCGCAGCGTACTCACATGTCGCCTCATTCCATGGACAACCATGTGCGTGCAACCACTTTAGAATTTGAAAATGGCCATCTTTAGCAGCACAGCCACATGTCTGCTCATTCCATGGACAACCATTTTCATTAGCCCACTTCAAAATCTCCAAATGGCCATTTCCAGCAGCAAAAGAACATGTCAAAGCATCCCATGGACAACCATTTGCACGAGCCCACTTCAAAATTTCCAAATGACCACCATGAGCAGCACTCCAGCATGTCCGCTCATTCCATGCACAGCCATTTTCGCGAGCCCACTTTAAAATGTCCAAATTGCCACCGTCAGCAGCGTACTCACATGTCCGCTCACTCCATGGACAACCATTCTCTCTTAACCAATGGAGTAATTCAAAATGTCCATTTCTAGCCGCTGCAGCACATGTCCGCTCACTCCAATAGAATCCTTGTTGCCGTGCCCATTTCATGACCATAATATTTCCATATCTGGCAATCACATTGCAAACATTCGCGAGATCAGGTGTTTTGTTGCTGGAATTGTCCTTGAGCCAGTATTCTGCACGTGGCTGGTTACAGAATGTTTCGCTGCAAAGAGTGTCCGTGCTTTCCGCAGAGCGACTGTCCGGAATTGGTATATATCCACGCTTATCTTTTACCTTTCTTGGATTTTTCTTGAGTTCAACTTTGCAGTACTCTTTGTACAGTTGATTCATCTTTTTGTTGACAGCTCCTACAAACGCGTACTGTCCAACACCAACAAAGGGAAGAATGCCTTGGACCAAAATCAAATCGTCAGCAAACAAAAGAGATTCAAAGGGCGGAGACATCTTCTGTTTCTTTTTGGTATTGTTGTTAGCACTGCTATTGACGGCAGCAACAGCACCATCATCAGAAGACATGATCGACGATGATAATGATAGTGGGCTGGCTGGCTATATTATTATGTGGATCGAGAGAGCTGTGGTGATCGGTTGCTGTTCAGTTCTACCGGTAGCAACCGGTACACTTTGTACCTGCCACAGTCAGTGAGACAGCATCGAAGGAAGACCCCCCTGATGGTCCCGGTATTTGGCAGCTCTGCTGAGCACATGACATGGTTGACGAGGTCACCAAGAAGGGTGTTAAATCCTGACGCGACGAATAAGGGATGACATATGCTGTTGATCTTGATTGATCTTGGCGACTGAATGCCTCCACAACAATGTCCTTTGTTTCCGGCCCGTTGCTTCATGATGATCGAAAGCTCAGACTTCTACATGTACAACCAGCTTGACTGCTGCTTCCTCATCAGCTCATCAGTAGTTTGGTTGCATCACAGAACAGAACAGCGACTAGCAGAACAGAGCCACTGGCCATACATATAGTCTTGGTTTTGATTTGATTGTTGGTGGCAACTGGATGTCATTTGTCCAAAAGACGAGAGACTCAGTTTTGGCTCGGCTACCCATCCTTGTCGCACACTCATTGAAATAGAGAACTGTTGAGTGTTGGGACCATCTAAGAGAGAGAGAAGGAGGAGAAGAGACTCGCTAGCTAGATAGCTAGTAGATCAGGTCAGGTCAGGCCAGGCTACGGTATATACCCATCCAAGCTCATGTGCCGTGCCGTTGGGTAGCTGGTATGAGTTGGCTCCTGTTCTGTCAGAGATCAGGATAACTACTGTACCTAAGCTAAGCTAAGCTAACCAATAGCTAGCTAGCTAGCTAGCTAGCTAGCTAGTAGCAAGAGCCAAGATGGCGTCTTCTCTGACTGCCAGCAGCAGCACCAACAAGAGCAAGAAGAAAGAGAAGGATCAGAAAGAGAAAGATCAGAAGGACAGCTCGGACGATGCTTCCACGGCATCCACGGCGGCAGAGTCTACCAAGAGCGATGTTCCCGTGACGGACACTGCTGCGGCTGTTGCTGCTTCAGAAGAAGCCTCCACCAAGTCTGGCATTAAGAAAGAGAAAGACAAGAAAAAGTCGAAAGAGAAAGACAAGAAAGAGAAAAAGAAGAAAAAAGACAAGCGGAAATCGGAAATGGACGATTGTTCTGTGGGAAGTGGCAGTTCCTACTATTACAACTATGACAGTGATTCGTCCCTCAGTTCTACCGGTTCGGAGCTCATTACGGGCGGTGTCGCCAAGAAGAAGAACCGTAAAGTCATTGCCAAAGAAGCTTCCAAATCGTCCTTATTGGATAGTGCTTCCATTCCCAACAATTCGTTTCGACGGACCAGCCTACTCAGTGACGATGACGATGACAGTTTTGGCAAATTGGAGGAAGAAGAAGAGTTTGCCGAGTTTCAAATGGATCTGACATTCCTCAAGGCCACTCCACACAGTTCCTTTGCGGGTGGCATGGATAGCAGTGGGGGACATCATCAGTATCAACAACGACAACTTCATTATGGTTCCAACACTGTTACCAACAATGCGGACACTTTCTCCCTCGATGGAAGAAGAAACAACAAATCATCCTTTGTCCGAAGAGTCAAATCCAATGGAAGTCCTCTCTCTCATAACAACAACCAATTTGACAGACCACCCAGCAGGCCAAACCCACTTTCCATGCGAGATTCAAGTGCCCCTATTGTGACGACTGCGACCAACACAAAAAAGGAAAAACGAAAAAAGACGGCCAATTTTGCAACCACCGCCGAGGCAGATGGGACGGATGGCAGTGGATCTGCTAAGCACGAAGATGGGATACGATTTGATTGGAGAAAGCAAAAATCCAAATCGTCTAGAGATGTTTGGCAACAGGACGATAGTGCCTTGCTCTTGCTCGATGACAGCGAAGAAGAGGTCGTACTATTCGATTGGGCGGCAACCAATGATGACGATCATTATTATACCAATAGCAACCACACAACAGCCACACCCGAAAAGAGGCGAGCCTCTCGCAAAAGCAGAACTGTCAGCAGCAATGACAATGACTCGACGGAAGATACTACTAAGAAAAGGGCAGCCAACAGTCGCAGAGAACACAACAAATCGCCTTCTGTCGATACGGACTCATCAGGCGACGATGGCGCCTACCGAAGACCGCGGCTTCGAAGAAGCAAATCCAGTGGAGATTCCGCAGTGGGAGGATTGCAGTTCCCCACGAGACGAAAATCCAACTACAACAATAAGAAAGAAAAGGCTACAACTGAGGAGGAAGGTGCTTCCACCGAAAACACTGATTCTGCGGAACACGTTGCTGCCACTCCTCCTCCCAAACGAAAAAGCAAAAAGTCCAAGGAGGTGGCACTATCGGACTTTTTGGACCCTCCAGACGAAAACACGACAACCACCACCAGTAGCAAGCCCAAAAAGGCCAAAAAGTCGGCATCCACCAACAGTAATAATAAGGACAACAACAACGAGCCAGCAGAATCAGATTCCGTGGCGACACCCGAGGATGCTTCTTGGTGGAGTGCTGACAGCTCCACTGCTCCCCCCAGCAAGCCGAAAAAGGGCAAGAAATCATCAGCAGCAGCATACAATTGGGAGGACGAGCCGACAGAGTCGGACACTGTGGCAACCCCCGAGGATGCTGGGAGAGAAGACAATGGGGGGTCCAAAAAGAAAAAGGGTAAAAAGGACAAGACTACTAGTGTGTCGCCTGTCAATATTACAGAAGAAACTGGATCAATGCAGTTTCTGTTGGAGCCAACGACCGAGTCCGACACCGTGGCAAGTCAGGAGGATCCTTCGTGGGGTGACTTGAGCAGTTCGAAAAAGAAAAAGAGCAAAAAGGAAAAGGCCATCAACGAGAACGCCGAAGAAATGCCGGCTTTGGAGCGACAGAAAAGTACCGACTCTACAGACCCAAACAGTAGGAATGACAGTGACAAGCATGATTGGGAAGCCCTGGCAGCATCTCCATCGGACGACATCGTAGTGAAGAATGCGGATGAAAACGACTCGGGAGAGTTTGCCAAAACACCAAAAAAGAAAACCAAAGACAAGAAAGAAAAACGCAAGGAAGGGATCAGGGGGCGCAGAAACACCATCGATGGGTACGATCCGCCACCGAATGTCAATGAGGACGAAGATTTCTACAATTGGAGTCCACGAAAGACGCCCACGAGCGGTGCCTACAAGAGCCCTCGAAAATTGACCTCATCGTCAACAAAGGCGAAAAAGACAATCATCGGCATCGAAGACAGGAAACATTTACCGGAGGCACCGCCATTGATACGCGCAACATCTTCGCCAGCTCCACCGCGAACATCCTCGGCAACACCACCACCCCCGTTGACTCGGGCAACGTCGTCCGCAACCGAGGCCTCTGGCGAAACCAATATGAGCATTGAGAGCGCCCCACCTTCGGTACCCGCTATCCGATCTTCTCCAAGGAAGAAGAAAAAGAGTGTAGTACTCAAAATTGAAGCGGGCGAGGAAGCTGAGGAGAAAATAGAGAGGATTAGCATCTTTGAGAAGAACCCCGAGGAGGAAGAAGAGGAAGCTCTGATAAGCTATGCGGGCTCGCTTCTCAAAACGTTCACAGATGACCCAACTCAGTACAGTGATGCTGCCATGATTGCTCTGCTGGAAGAATACCCACAATCTGCATCTATCAAGTTCTCACTTGAATCGTCGGCGTTTCGTGGGGGCAAAGCCAAGACCAGGCACTACCTTTTGTCAATACTATGTGCAATGGGAGCCTCCCGTGAAGTTATAACGCTATGCTTTGGATTGAACCCAGAGTCAATTCACAAGTTTGACGAATGGGTCGGCACCCCGTTGCATTACGCAATTTCATTCGGAATCACGGCGTCGTTTTCTCGCGAGATGTGGACCGACTCGATCTTCGAGACTGTCGAGTACCTGATTGAAAAGGAGCCTAGACTTTTGACATCTCAGCACAATGACAGGTCAGAGTCCGTCCTCCACCAGGCGATCTTGTGTCTTTGCCCATTGGCAGGGCCAGCGGGCGGGGCTCGTGGTCCCAACGACGCACACCAACTAGCTACACTTGCTGATGTTGTGGTCTCATTGCTGCTGGAGAATCAGCCGCTGTTGGCAACGATGATGGACACCAAAGACAGGCTTCCACTTCATATTGCTGCAATGCACGCTGTCCCTTTGGAAATCATAGAGCGCATCTTGAAGGAGAACAAGGAAGCATGTTCTTGTGTGTGCAGTACGACTGGTTTTACACCGTTGCACTACGCAGCAGAAGCGTTTGGCAAATCTGTCTGGAAGTTCTTCCACGACATGAAACGTCGCAGCAGCGACAGCGACACTCTGGACATGGACTTGCTCTCTGTGCGTCTAGACGGGCATTCAAAGAACATTCAACACCTAGTCACCACCTCTCCTGCGGCAGCGCAAGTTGAAGATCTTAATGGTAACCTGCCGCTTCACCTGCTTATGCAAACGTGCTTCAGGGATGCCACCGCTATACCCAGCGACGAGTTGTTCAAGTCACCCAATGTATTTGTGATTGCTTTTACGACAATCTACGATGCCTATCCAGAGGCTTCCAATATCAAAGATAGCAACGGAGAGACCCCAATCGAGATTGTCAAAGAGCAAAAGGAAAACGGCGATCCCGTCATGGATTCCATCATGAGGTCCTTCCAGGAGCACAACGAATGAACTTGGGAGTTCCCCCCAAGAGCACGACAACCCCATGTTGCCACCTGCTCTGATCCCCTCCATAGAGCATTAGCTCGTGCATTAGCTCGTGCTTTGAAAGCGGGATGAGCACCCCCGTCGTCAACGCTTTGACGAACCCGCTACAGCTGTTTAAACATAAAGGCAAGTAATACTACAATTAGAAAACCGAACTACTTTAGGAGTTCACGACTATAGTCATGACTGTGGACGGAGTGCAGGTGCAACCAATGCTGGAGGGGGGGGGAATCAGGGGCAACAAAAGCGTGCCCAGGCTTGAAGACAGCACACCTTGGGTGCTGCACAAGGGCGTCAGATGCGGCAGCTAACCTGCAATTGTAGTAGTAGATGGCCACATTGTCCAATGTTGTACACGCCTTTCGGATGATCGAACCCTAATCGAGTTCCTTGTCCACCGGCTAGAACCAATGCTGCCACTTGGCCTTGGGCTGTGGCTGCCAGACCCAGAGGTTCTACCTTTTGTACCGTTGCAGCATCGCTGGAATAGGCAACTTGCTCCGTCAAGGGTGCAATTGTTTGACTGGCACTCTCCTCTTGCTTTTTCAAAGTGGCTTCCAATTGGGAGGGATTTTCTCCAGCTCCACCGAAACGAGCTGGTCGAAGAGCGCCTTTTTGTCCGCCTCACTCAGATCTGGAGGAAACACATGCTCTTGTCCGTGCTCCTTGAAATGTGCTTCGACTTTGGCAGGGGTCTTCATGAGGTATGGTTGGATCAATCTCTGGGGAGCCAGCTCAAAAAACTGCCGACTACGATGCACAACAAGGCTAAAAAGGATGCAATGCTGCACAAAAAAGCAAAAGTTCATTATTTATTGTCAAAATGAGAAACGTAGGTATTTAAACACCTTGGTATTAATTAAGCACCTTCGTGACATGCACATCTCGTATTGCCCATGTATCGGCACCGGTACATGCATGCGCTGCTAATGAACTATAGCTAGCTAGCTATCAATAACGCAGTTACAAGTAGCTTTTTTCTACTGATAGGGTATAGCCCCCAAGTGCTCTATTGAACTTCTTTTTTTGGCCCCCTCCCCCTCCGAACCCAATTTCTTAGGCGGGGCAAGCTCTTGGTGATCTGCCGAAACGTCCACGCAAACAGATCACCAAGGATCCGAATTTGGTTTCCCAAAGGCCCGGTCAAAAGATGGAAATAAACTGTATTCTGTGCATTGTAGTTTGGACGTTGTCGATCACGGTCCAGGGTCATAAACGCAGGTCGCCCGACTTGCTTATACTCCTCCTCAGCCTCGGCAATATCAGCTACGAGGAGCTGGTCAAATGCAGTGAGTTGCTTGGCGGTAATGTTTATGCAGAAGGAGCCCTGGAATGGATCTTCCAGGTCCTTCAATAGCATGGCTGCACCGCTTCCTACACCTGCAATGATGGAGAAAAGGACTTGCAACTGCTCAGGCAACCACAATGAGTCAGAAGGAAGGAGTTTCTTGAAACACGTGTACATGCACAATAATACAAACATCGCTCACCTGGAGCGAGTTGAGGTACTGGTTCACCTCCTGGTTCGAGTCCAGAAGGAATGAGGTGACAATGCCACAATACAAGAGGACCAAGATGGCCCAGTGAATTCTGGGAAAATCGCTTAATGTAGTGGCCACCCTTTCGGACCGATGACCACTGAGCGAGACCAACAGATCACTGGCCTTGGCAACCGAGCTCTGCCGCGACGCTGCTGCACCATCCACGCCGTGCAACATCTCTGCCAGCTCTGGTAATAATGAGGTTCAGGGGTCAGAACAGGTCAAACGGCCCACAATAATACCACAGGAAAACACATGGACCTACGTACCGTCAAGCTCACTCTTAGATATCCCTCCATGCATTTGTACGTGTTCCAGTCGCTCTATACCATCTATTTGAGTCTCCGAGATGAGTGTCTGTGCATAGCTGTGCAAAAGGCCAAGCGCAATTGCTCGACGTTGGCTGTGCTGTGCCGTGCCAAAACAACCAAAGAGTGCTCGACGAAGAAGTCGCAATTCACACACTTCCTTGTTGATGATGGATCGCAGCGTTAATTGACGATTCCACAGCACATTCACAGTGGTTGCAAAAAGAGTACCCAGTCCAACTCCAGCCGCAGGGACTGAAATCCATACACAGAAGAACAGTGTGTTACATCAGAATCGAATTCTATGAAAAGCTACCCCCTGCACTGCATGACAACTGCACCGCAGGACTCACCAACTACTCCATTGATGGTTGGCCGAAGCAAATCGGTTGCGAAAGCATTCCCATCCACATTGGTTCCCTTAAAGCCTAACATGTCGAATACGTTTGCCACTTGACGGGCTACCTCGCTGTACAGTGCAAAGGCTACCACCGGTGGTATCCCAGCCACGACAAACAGATCCCTATCGTACTGTTTCTGGGCTGCCGCCTCTGCTTCGTCCACATCCACATACGATGTCGCCCATATTGGACCATCACCGCCGTTCGGCAAGGTTTCCGACGACAGTCGTCGCACAACAAGAGGCAATCTCCTCGGGCGTCGCGATGATCCATGTGAGAAGCAACTTGCATCATGGATGAAAAGCACTACATGTAATAGTAGTAACGGTGGCAAGCCCAAGCCGACAGATCGGAACATCTCTATCGTTAAGTTGTGGCAGCGGGATGTCCAGAAAAGGAGCCGTTTAAAGACGCTGATTGTCTGTGATGCCGATGGCTCCATTGAGATATCGTACTTGGATCTTGAAGACGTCAATCAATGTACCGGGCAGACCCCGGTGATCTCTGACCCCGTTTATATACCGGGCAGACCCGGTGATCTCTGACCCCGTTTATTGTGGTGGTGGTGGGTTTGGTTGGTTGGTTATCCTTAGGGTTAGAGATTTACTTCAACCCCCTCTTTCTCACGCATTCTCATAATAATCATAACGTAGCAACGGATCCTAATATTTTCCTCACATGCCCACCCTAAACTCCGTAAGCTACCACGCCACTTTCTCAGATGGAAAATCTTATGACTCACGTTGCACACTCTAAACACCCGTAAGCTACCACGCACTTTCTCATATGAAAAAATCTAATGACTGGCCTTGCACACCTCTAAACTCTGTAACTACCAGCCTCTTTCTCAGATGAAAAAATCTTACGTCTCACTTGCACACCTCTAAATCCCGTAAGTACCACGCCACTTTCTCCAACGGAAAAATCTTACGTCTCACGTTGCATACCTCTAAACTCCTAAAGCTACCACGCCCATTTTCTCAGATGAAAAAATCTAGTCTCATGTTGCACACCTCTAAACTCCTAAGCTACCACGCCACTTTCTCAGAACGGAAAAATCTAATGACACTACATGTACCTTCAGCCAAACTTTAACAATATTATTATGCCGCCCATCTTTTAATTCAGCTCGCCCGGTATATCTATTACACCTCCGGTGTCCTTTATTGTGGTGGTCGTTTGGTTGGTTTTGCTTGGTTGATTTTTTATCCTTAGGGTTAGCGTTTTACCTCTAAACTCCATAACTACACCCTCTTTCTCAGACGGAAAATCTTAACGTCTCACGTTGCACACCTCTAAACTCCCGTAAGCTACACGCCTCTTTCTCAGACGGAAAAATCTAAATCTCAGTTGCACACCTCTAACTCCCGTAAGCTACCATGCTCTTTCTCAGACGGAAAATCTAATGACATTACCTTCAGCCAAACTTCAACAATATTACTATGCTGGCCATCTTTTAATTCAGCTCGCCCGTATATCTATTACACCTCCGGTGTCCATTGTCTTTTGGTTTTGTATGGAGAGACAAGCTGAGTCACAAACGGCACGATATCCAAGCAAAAAAGATCCTGATGTATCTTAACCCTGCCCCTATGCCAAAGCAATCGTACAGGCGGAGTTCAGTCACCCAAACGAACGCAATGCTAAAAAAAAGGGGGTTTTAAGATATCTACCCGTACTGTACGGAAGCATGCGAGGGCCAGGCTGACAACCAAAGAGCTGCTAAAGGGCAGATGGGTTTCTACTATGGCAACAGCTGCTCTGTTCGTAGAACTGCCAAGCGACACCAGAAAAATTTTGCACAACCTTGAAGTGAAGAAGAAGAAGGAGAACAACGAGGCCCTGGGTGAACATGGCTGCACAAAGCGTGGCAAGGGATTCACCAAGGAAAATGAAGCCCATGTTTTTCAAGGATGTACAACAAGCACTTTGCATCCTTCAAAAAGGTAGCAAGCATTCCTGCAAGTCTCGGATTGATTGGAAAGTGGGAAAAGAAGATTGGTTTGAGGAAGAGCCGTGCAGAAAGCATGGCATCCAAGAGGTCTCTCGACCAAAGCAAAGCCAACGGTTCCCAGAAAAGGCATTGTTCCCTTGGGCTAAGAGTGGAGGCGGAAGTTGGGACTAGCAGCTAGGTTCTGTGGGCTCAGGGGCGACAAATTGATGAACAACACACGGGCCAAAGGCCAAAGGCAGGGCTTGGCTTTGCGGGATCCACAGAGGCATTAATGGGCGGCTTCAACAAGGGCAATCGAGATTCGGGTTTCCCTCTTGATGGAGAGGCATGGACTTGAAGTGCAATTCTTCGTGTTTGCTGGTGGCACCGGTATTGCCACCACAAATGTCCCCTGGGTTTGCCCACTAGCAAGAGCTAAATTACTCTCTAGTTTCTAGTTTATTAACAAACTAACTTCGCCTACTAGCGAGACACCTTCTGTTTTGCTTTCTGCTGCCTTTTAATAAAAGGATCACTTCGTCACTACATGTACTGTTGTATCCATTTTTGTTGGTTCTTAAAGTTTGGGTACTTGCTGGATCTGAATGAGATTCCCCACAGTATCATGCAAAATGGCAACTTTGATACCACCAACATCTTTTGGCTCGGACTTGAATAGCACACCTTTCTCTACCAATTTTTTGTGTTCTGTTTCAATATCGTCCACATCAAACGCAGTCGCAGGGATACCATTATCCAACAGCGCTTTCTGGTAAACCTTGGCTTCGGGCACTCCCACATTTGGCTCCAAGCCCAACTCCATATAGTCACTGTCAGAAGAGACTACTGAGATCCACTTGTGTTCTCCCATGTCAATTTCAAGTTTCTTGATAAACCCAAGCTTATTGGTGTAGAAATCAAGTGCCTTGTCTTGATCATCCACCATTATCGAGACCAGTTTGATCTTGAGAGGCATGTTGGTTGGAATTTGCTTACTTTTAAAACGCTGATTATGGTGGAATGCAATTTAATCGAGTATCCTTGAACAAGAATTGCTCGGTGCTTTTTGTGGACAGTGAGTGTTGCAGTGTCGCATGGGTGGTCTGGGGTCGGCGGCATCTTCATAAATCGATCTTGGAAAAGAACCCTCCCGTTGAAACTTGCTTCCTCTGCATACCACTAAACGGTACCATTGAGTTTTCAATGGGAAGGTGCGGTAAATATAGAGTTGAAGTCAAGTGGAAAAGAGCGTATTCCCGCATCTACCCGAATCCCAAAGCTGTCTAACATGTCCACACCAAAACTTACCTAGCTAGCCAGCCCCCACACTGTGGTCGGCTCTTTCATCTCTGCCAGGTTGAGCATCGCGCTCTCCAGGGCCACAACCATGTGTCTAAGAGGTTCCCGTATCCCAGTTATCAAGCTTTCCAAGCGTTGGGATGACTGTGGTGCCCTTGATCTCTTCCGCTAGTTTTCCTCCCTTGCTCCTCCTCGCCCCCACCTTGCATCCCCTCTCTCTTTGGTTTTGCTGCTGCTCTGCTCACTTGATCGATTGCTCGGCTCGGGTTTGTGCATCGTGCTCTCTCCCTGCCCCCCTCCTCCCCATAGTTCTCCTCCCCATGGTTCCCTCTACGCCATACTAACCACTCCTCTTAGCTAGATGCTTTACAAAAAGTAGGGTTGGAGCCATGGAGGGCCATGCAAAGAAGACGAAATTCAAAAGGGGAAAATGTACATCTCGCCACGGAAGGGCTCCACATACTCCAGAAGATGCCACATGTAGACCCATGGTTGCCGCTATCAATCAAAGAAGAAATAGAGAACCATCCTAGGTTTGCACATCAGGACGGGCCGACGACATGAAGTTTCAATTGTAAATAATGATAGTGCTAAAATCATGATAGTGCTAAAGTCTACGTGTGCCGGTCCCTTTGAAGGAACTACTTCATGTACCAGACATTCATCGTCCATGTCCACTGATGCTCAAATCCAAGGCACCAGACTTGTAATTGACATGGATGTACAAGTGCGTAAATGCCCCATCCAAGATGCCACCAAACCTAGTCCAAAGTCTCGTATTGCTTTCTACCGTAGCTAGAGACATTCATGTCCACTGATGCTCAGCACCCAAGGCTCGCACGAGGCACCCGACTTGTATTCCACATGGATGTAGTACGTAAATGCGACATCCAAAATATCACCAAAGACCTCCTTGGCCGAGATGACAACCTCTCGGGCGCCTCCATCTTCACCACCTCGCATGGCCGAGTCATGAGGAATGGGTGAATTGTACTCGTAAACGTGCACGTCATAGTCCACTCCACGAGGAACTTCCAGCCTCACTTTGTGTTCCACATCGGCGGCGCAAAAGGAATCGTCATAGGCACTGGCTACAAACCAGGCACTGCTAGTGCCTACGATGTAAAGTCAGTCAAGAAGGATTATAATTTGAGAGAAAAAGTGCAAGGAAGGATCGACACAGCATGTATGTTTGCTTACCTGTAAACTTGGAAAACTGAATCCATTCCGTGGCCTTGCAAATGGAGATCATGGAGGCTCTGCAAAAGGTACTTCCGCCATAGTTTCCAGCCACAATAGCATTGGCACGTTGGTTGACTGCTACTCCATGTGGGACACCGGAACAGCCAGGTTCCGTGGGTGCATTGGTTGGTAGAGGCGTCGTGGGTGCTCTGGTGATGGGAGCGAATGTCGGTGGCACGACCGGAGCGGGTGTAGCGGGTCTTTCCTGAGCCGATGCCACGACGACATTGGTGATGTTGAGGATATCTGTAGTAGCATTTGCAGTAGCCTCCATGGTTGGCGCCTCGGATGGAGCCGAGGACGGGACGGGAACAATGGTGGCATCTTGCATGCCCACCACTTCATTGGCCGGGGCTTGGTTCTTGTCATTATTGTTGGCAGCATTGATGCCGAGCATTCCAATGCCAATTCCAATTCCCATGAGGAGCAAGGCCACAAACACCATGGCGAGCCAGAACCACTTGGAATGCCACATCTTTTTGGGTGGTAGAACTTCCTTGGTGGGGTAGATATAAGAGTCCATCTGGCGTCCTTGATCGGGTACCAAACGATACGTGGCCAACGGTGGCATATCGGCAGAATCTTTTTGGAAGGATGCCTTGGGGTCCATCATGATGCTCTTGGAGCTGCTTCTCGTCAAACCAGTCTCGGGATCACGTTCATTTTGATGACTGCGGGTGGAAAGGTTGCGATTGCTGTTGCTACTGCTAGTGTTGGAAGAACGTACAGGGGAAGCAACTGGACTTCGGGTGGTGGAACCCGACAGGATCGAGTCATGGTCGGTAGAAGCCGTGGAACCACTTCTGTGGCTGCGATCATCATCCGACGCCATGACGGTGATTTCGTGTGGCTTGGAACGCGCCGAGTGGTTGCTCATCAGCAGACTCTCTTCGTCTTGAAATGGTTGCTCCTTACTATTGCCTTGTTTCGATCCAGCAGCACTGACCATACTGACGGAACCACGGGAAATGACACTGGTCAAACTGTTGTTGCGGCTGTCGTTCGTGGTGGGGGGTGGGACTACCAAAGCCGACGAGGAGCGAATCTTGTTGTTCATGTTACTGTTGGTGTCACTGCCATTGGTGCTGCTGTGGTCCATCATCATGAGACCGGATGCCGGAGTCATAATGCTGCCATGAGTATGGCTGCTATTGTACGCCTTGACGAGACGTTGAATATCTTCTCGAATGCGATCCAACTCTGGTTCCTGGTTCATGCCAAAGACAAAATTTTCATCGGGTCCTCGCGCCATGATGATCTTCAAGAGATACTCTTCCTTGCCAGTGGCGGTGGATTTCATGGCACCCGTGTGCAACTTGCCGACGGAATTCCACGGAATGACAATGGTCTGATCACTGGCCGCGGCAAAAAAGGCCATGCTGTCGGATTGCAGCGAAATACGTCCGGGTTCGCCATGGTAGGTTACATCGAGGTAGGTCACATTCATGGTATCTTTCTGGTTGTTGTTATTGTTGTTGATGTTGATGCCTTGCATTTTGGAAGATAATAACAATGAGAACGGTATTGAAGAGGTCGAGTGAGCTGAAGGCTTGAGCTGCTTGTGTTCTTCTTTTTATGATCACTTCTTTCGATCACTTCACTCTCTGTGATGGAGTGATGGATACAGTGGTATTGGTTTGTTGGCCACGATGAAGAAGTAAGTATGGCAGATGTGGTTACGAGTTGACTGACTGACTCGGATGCAGCTCTGAACGAAGCACGAGCGATTGGTAGTGGTTGGATACGGTTTTGCCTTCGAGTTGTTCAAGAGGTCTCCAACTTGTGGGAAAGATAAAGATAGATGAGGTAACGGTCCCAAGCGCATGGGACGACCAAAAGCGTCACACCCATGTTAGAGCTAATGGGAGCAATCCTGGATGTCTGAAACATCCGAATGAAGACTCAAAGAAATGAGAAAGCATCAGACGTGGATACTATTAAAACTGATAGAATCTTCCAAGTGCTTCTAAGTAGGTCGATTAAGTCAAGTTGATACAGCTCAAATGGCTTCTATAAGATTCAATGACCATGACACCCACAGCTTCAAGGGAAAGACGGCGTCAACAACAACGGCCACAAAGGTAGACAACAGGAAGAGGATCCCCAAGTGGAGTAATGGTGATGGCAGTAGCCTGAAGCCATGGAATCTTCTCCTATTAAAGAACTTGAAGGTGGCTCCTCTTTGGTCCAAGAGATGGATACGTGTAGCCCAAGTAGTCCTTCGTCAGCAAACCTGGCCATGTCCAGAATCTCCTCGTGGGTAGTGAAGGAGGATGATGCCCTCGCTGATAATAATACTGAGATGGCAGTGGAATTGGTGGATCTATCTACAGCTGGCAAAGGATTCGGCTTGGTCGCTTCCCGCGCCATTGGAAAGGATCAAGTGGTCTTTACCGAGAAAGCTCCCGTGCCAACCACAGTGCCCATGCCTAGTAGAGACTACACGAGTTCTTCAGGCTTTTTCACAAATGCCAGATACTGTCAAAACTGCTACGCATCCATGGAACCAGCATCTGCTTGTTTTGATTCCGTCCAGAGCCTGCCGTTGAATCATTTGTGGCCTGTGCCAGAATACAATGCTACCTTTCAAAATATCTTGGAAAATGCCTCAGCACAAGTACCCTGTCTGGAGGAAGAACAGGATACGAATAACATGGATGCAGATACAACAGCAACAGCAACAATAAACTCCAAATCCATTTTAAAGGACCAACATGGCAGGTTGATCTGTACACAGTGCAAATCTCTCTTTTGCTGTTCCGACTGCCACCGGAGCTTTTCATCACACATTTTACCAGACTGTTGTCTCTACCAAAAGCTACCCGAAACTATCTTGGACGTGGTAGTCCAACACAATACCCAGAGGAGGAATCAAATCAGCAAGAACATCCCCGATGACTCGTGTCTGGCCGATCATTGGGAGACACTCGTGGCCACACGAATATTCTGTGCTCATCTCACTCATCTTAGAAGACAGCAACCTACTAATCCAAAAGAACAAGACGGAGAGGAGGAAGCCCGACTTCTCAGCCACGCCATGCAAGACATGTGTGGAACAGCATCTACCGACCTGCAAAAGCTAAATGTCGGCTTGTCCAAAGAGATTCACACGGGACTATTTGGAGCCACCACAACCATCAACACGGTCGAACCGTTCTATCATGCCCTGTGTCAAGCACTGGCATTGACAGTACAGGAACAACAAGTCTTGTCGTTGTCACTGTTCGAGCGACTCGTCATTGTCTGCAGTCGCAACACGCTCCACGTCAAGACGGCGTCTCCTTTTACCCTCTACGAAGAACGCATCAAGCAGCAAGCGTCATCACCGGAAGAGCTAAAGGCGACACGTAAGAACATTGCCATTGCCATTGGCAAGTCGGCCGCCGTGGTGGGACCCATTGTCACCGATCCCAACGAGTTTGGAACGCTGCAATGCTGTGCCGTCCTACCACTCTTTTCTAGACTCAACCATGCCTGTGACCCCAATCTGCAAGTAGCGGACCGAGTCGTGGTGATGGAAAACGAAAATCGTGTGTTGCGGCTGGCCGTGGATCTCGTTGCCACCAAGGATATCCAGCCGGGAGAGGAACTCTCCATTTGCTATCTCAGTTCCCAAGCGGCTGCCTTGGAGGAACCGTTTCGGAATCGACGATTGCAATCGAGGTACCTATTCACGTGCCGTTGCCACAAGTGTGCGCAGGAACAGCAAGAACAATACGACCAAGCCAAGAAGTAATGAATGAATTAGCCTGCATGCATGGTGCCACGCAGTCTTCTGCTTGGAAACTAAACGCCACCCGTATTCCGAACAAACAGCAAGCAACAAAGGAATTCGTTGCCGAATCTTCCCACTGAGTCATGCCACGATCGACAAGCAGCGATGGCATGAAAACTTCGTATCGCGCACGTCCCAATAAAAGCTAGCTAGCTAGTCTGCCGTATAATGTATTCTTAACCTTTGCGAATGGCTTCCATGATGGACAGAGTAGATGGCCACCTCTCGTCGTGCCCTTGCGATTATGCAGGCTGGCAAGCCAATTTCTGACGAAAAGACGCTTTGGCTACTCTATAGTTTGGCTTGCCAACATCTATTGAATTGCAAGTAGTTGATTTGCCTACGATGGCTCGGAAGAATATCATTGTTTCCACATTTTCGACACGTGAGATGGGACGGACCTATCACATGCAGCCACCATTGGAAAACTGTGAGAATACACCATGGCTGCTGGGCTGCTCTAATTCAGCAACGAGGGAGTGGTTCAGTAAATTTGACTCTTTGAGCTTCCAATCACCAGTGACAGTTGGTGATGGGCTGCTGAGAGGTAAAACATGGGCATTGTCCACTTTTGATTGACTCATTCAATTCACGACCTTTACATAAATGATGTTGATTCTAGTATACTAGTGTCCTTCATCGCGAGAACCAGGGCATTTCTTGTCGCGTAGCCACTGGATCACTTCGCTGTGGTTATTCGAGCAGGCAGCTCGATATGTTGATGCACTCCATGGACAACCATTTTCATGAGCCCACTTTAAAATTTCCAAATGTCCACCTGCAGCAGCCTCTCGACATGTCCGTTCATTCCATGGACAACCATTTGAACCAGCCCATTTTAGGATTTCCAAATTACCACCTTGAGCAGCAGCCTCGCATGTCCTTGCATTCCATGGACATCCAGTTTCACGAGCCCACTTTAGAATTTCCAAGTGGCCATTTCCAGCAGCAGCCCCACATGTATCTGCTCTCCATGGACAACCGTTTTCACGAGCCCATTTTAGGATTTCCAAATGACCACCTTGAGCAGCAGCCTCACATGTCCTTGCATTCCATGGGCATCCAGTTTCACGAGCCCACTTTAGAATTTCCAAGTGGCCATTTCCAGCAGCAGCCCCACATGTGTGATAATTCCATGGACAACCATTTGCATGAGCCCATTTTAGGATTTCCAAATGACCACCTTGAGCAGCAGCCTCACATGTCCTTGCATTCCATGGACATCCAATTTCACGAGCCCACTTCAAAATCCCCAAATGGCCATGTACAGCAGCAGCCCCACATGTATCTGCTCTCCATGGACAACCGTTTTCACGAGCCCACTCTAGAATTTCCAAATGGCCACCTCCAGCAGCGCCCGAGCGTGTGCGGCCACCCCATGGACAACCATTCTCTCTTAACCATTGGAGCATTGCCAAGTGTCCATTTTGAGCAGCACATGCACTTGTCCATTGATTCCATGGGAATCCTTTTTGTCGTGCCCACTGCATGATCGTAATATTGCCAACTGTGGCAATGGCAGTGCAAACATGATGACGATCAGGTTTCTTATTTCTGGAATTGTCCTTGAGCCAGTATTCTGCACGTGGCTGGTTACAGAATGTTTCACTGCAAAGAGTGTCCGTGCTTTCCGCAGAGCGCCTGAGAGAATACCATTCGCAGCTAGCAGGTTTATCGTTTACCTTTCTTGGATTTTTGTTGAGTTCAATTTTGCAGTACTCTTTGTACAGTAAAAGTCGGGTTTACTATGGATTAGAGAGAGCTAAGATGACGATGGAGACAGAGCTCAAGGGGAGGGCACGACGCAGGAACGCAAGGCAGGCAATCAAGTGCGCAAGCAGGGCAACATGGAAACCAAGGAAAGGGATGAAGGCAGGAGTGCAGGGAGGAGCAAAGGAGCAAGACTAGCGGAAGAGAGCGAGGGCACCACAGTCATCCCAACGCTTGGAAACCTTGAGAACTGAGACACGGGAGCCTCTCAAACACATTGTCGTGGCACGGGCAAGAGCTATGCTCAACCTGGCCGAGATGAAAGAGCGAACCACAGAGTAGGGCTTGGACCACTTGCGAGCCAAAAGCTGGGAGAGCCGTTGGAGAACAGCAGTAGCTTCGGCAGCAAAGAGGCCATCAGCAGAAACAACAAAGGGGGTGAAGTGGCGGCGTTGTGCTGTGCACTGAGCCTGGTACTTCGTCTTCTTTTGCCTCTCCCGCTGAGAAAGGGCCTTCTCAGCAGTGACACCACGGCAAAGAGTTGATTCATCTTCTTGTTGACAGCTCCTACAAAGCGTACTGTCCAACACCAACAAAGGGAAGAATGCCTTGGATGGAAATATCATCGTCAGCAAACAGAAGAGAATCAAAGGGAGGAGACATCTTCTGTTTCTTATTGTTGAGTGCACTGTTGCTATTTGCAGCAGACGCGACACCACCTCCCATACCAGCATCATTCCCAGCAGCAATACTAGCAGAAGACAATATGCTACCAACGGGAGGAACGGACTCAGCAGTGCCAGTCGCACTAGCAGTAAAGTAGGCGTGGTTAGATAACATGATGATGGAGATGATGCAACGCTTTACAGCTACTACTATAGTTTGGAGGGTTTGGTGGTGTGATCTTGTTGGCTCCGTGGAAGGCACTGCCGAAACCAAATTTTAAATTCCTACATGCCCGACGCAGCCATACCCTTTGTTTTTCTTATGCAACTCCCCATCATCTTGCTCTCTCTTATTTTATCTTTGGCCATTGTCCATTATCTGGGGGTGCCCCCTTCCCGTCCATCTTCCCTTTTCCAGGCCCCCTCTTCTATTGCACCCCCTCGCCACCTTGGAATTCCAGAGGCTTCCAGCCTCTTCATGGCGCAACCCGTGGCTCCTCGCGTCATGGTGGCTCCTCCCGTCATGGTGGCTCCCGTCATGGTGGCTCCCGTCATGGTGGCTCCAGTGGTCATCTTGGCCGACTTGGCTGACGATGAAGCTTCCAACTCTTCTTCTCCAACCGGTTCCACCACAACATTCTTCACTGCTGGCTCCTCCGAATCTCAGCCGCCGACCCCAGTTGCCACTGCACCGACCTTGCCTGTTGAACCAGAACAACCATCTCCTGTTGCTGCTCCCCAACCCAATCAGTTCTGCCGCGCAACCCGTCGTGCCCCCATCACCTATTGTTGTGCTTGTACCAGTCCCGGTCAATGCAAAACATCCTGGTGCCGCTGTTTCCGAGCCAAACAAGCTTGCCACACCTGCTGTCCCCGTGCCTCCGGCCGCTGCTCTCGTCGAGTTGTTCGTCAGGATTCCCTTATCAATCCCGACCCCTCGCCCTTTCTCAGCCCTGCCGCCCAACCACGGGCAGCCCTCAATCATCAAGCCAGTCCAATTTTGGCCACCCAATCTCCTCTAGCTTCCATCAGAACCACTCCTACTTCTGCTTCCCAGCCTCCTGCAGCCACTACTACTCCTGCCTCCCAGCTTCCTCCTGGCTGCCAGCACTCCCCGACGGCGAAGTCCCCGGCGCCGGACTCCCAATACGCCCGGCTCCACTATTCCACAGCCGCGCACTCTCAACACTCCAAACACCCCAGTGCCGGCTCCACCTCCTCCTCTCGGGCCTACTGATTATGCTCCCGCTGATAGTGATCTTCCCGGGTTTTCTCCCACCACCGCCGACAACAGCCTAGACGCTCTTTATGGCGACCATGTCCACTGGAATGACGGCACCCACCTTCATGGTGGCATCGACCCATAACCGATCAACTCGGGCAGTCCTATTTACAACGTCTATATCAATGCCTTCCCCATCAATACCATCTTCCCGGTGGTGCTCTTGCCGAACGCTTCCTCGGAACCTATGCTGATCTTATTGAAGGTGTCGTCTACCGACGTCACAACTGGGAAAAGCCCCTGATTTTTACCATGGTCATTCTTCAAAAGGTCCCTCATGTTCGCAGGAACCGCGACATCAAACCACTGCTGACTCGGCGTCTTGATCAATGGGACAGTGGTTTTTATGAATCATTTGTTACCGAATGTCACAAAGCCATGGAGTCTTTCCTCTCCGATCGCCGCGGCTCCAGCACACCAGAACAACGAGCCCGCCGCTTTCAGCATCTCATGCTTCAAGGTGAGGTGCGCCGAGCTGTCCGCTTTATCACTGCACGTGAACAATTCGGCGTGCTGCTCCCCACAGCTCACACTGATGACGGCAAGGGCACCGAGCGGTCTGTCTTGGACATTCTCAAATCCAAGCATCCCTCTCCAACCCCTATTAATTTAGCCCAGCTTCCCAAATTCGATGCTCCCCCACCGCCTTTGTAGATCTTCAAATTACCCCTGAAATTTCTGAACAGGTTGCTGGCAAACTATCCGGTGCTTGTGGCCT